GGGGCCCAGCACAGCCCGCAGCGGCCAGGCCCTGCACCGGGACAGCAGCGGCTCCTGCTGCCCGGGAGCGGACTGAAGCCACCATGCGCTTCCCGCCCCCGAGTCTGCTGGCGCGAGACCGAGATGAGCTGGCACATCTGAAGCGGTCACGAAAACCCTCGAAGCCTCTGCGAGCCCCGAGCTGGCCGACGGGAGACCAGGCCCGGCCACCGCCGGGCGCGTGAGCGCAGGCACAGCCGGCGGGCCCGGGCCCACGAGCCGCAGCGTGAGGGGCCGGCCCGATCCCGCCGCTCGGCAGGACGAGGCCTCAGCCCCCGCGCAAGGCCCTCGTGGCGAGAATCAGACGGACCAGACGCGAGGAGGCCGGCCTGCGTGTGTTATCTAAGACGCAGGCAGACGCGGGCTCATTCCTTGGATGCTTTCGCCAACAGAAAAAACCGAGGAAGAGCGTTGCTTAGCAACTCCCGAGACAACGAGCCGCGAGGGTGGGGCCGCAGGGCCGCCTCCGGCCACCCCGGCGCCCGCAGGCTCGGGGCTCGAGGCCCCGGCCTCGGGCAGGCTCTCCTCACCCTGCAGACAGACCCGGCAGCCCCGCCCAGGCAGCGGAGGCCTCTGGGCTGCACCGGCCCTGCACGGCCACGCTGTCCCCAGGGACCGACTCCAAGGGCTCTCGGGAAACACTTCTCTCACTCCACTGGACGAGCGGGGGGGCAGCGGGCTGGAGCGACCCCGCCCCCACGCGCCAGAGGGGCACACAGAAGCCAGCTGGGCGCTTCGGCTACACCCCTCTCCTAACCTGCGAGAGCCCCCCACTGCAGCCATGACCAGGCTGGGCTGGGCGCTGGCCCCATCTCAACTCCAGTCCTCTCCCCGGAGGTCCTTTCCGGAGCTGCTGTGAGCCTCAAGGCCGATCCCCAAAGCTTCCACAGCTCAGGGCCCGTCTTTCTCCCGGCCACGCCCCTGCAGTGTCTGTATGCCTGACGGGCAGGCCCCTGGGCAGGCGGGCGGGCCCCGGGCTGGCAGGACCGTGGGCAGCGGGCCCCTGGCAGGCACGCAGAGCCAGCTCTCTGGGACTGCGGACAGCGGGTCGGGAAGCCGGTCCTCAATTCCTGGCCGCGCTTCAGACTCCTAAGTGGCTTTTCAGAGCCAGCCGGTGCCCCCGCCGTGCCAGGACCACTGGCACATGCTGAGCATCGGGGCCCCAGAGGACCACAGTGCCCCAGAGCTGCACCACGCACAGGACAAGCCTGCGCAGCGACAGGCCACCAACCATGGCTGCCACTGTGACAGTTACACGTGCATTAAAAATGCACAAGTTCGGCCCTCCCCGGGGCGCGGCGGGTCACAGCGCGGCGCTGAGAAGCCGCAGCGCTGCAGCACGAGGTTGGTCCCCGCCCCGGAGGGGGCCCCAGGGCGCGGCAGACCTCTCCTGGCCCCCGCTGCCCCCTCAGCAGTGGACGTCACCAGGCGGCCTGTTCTGCTCCCCGCTCTGTCTCTGCTGAAGCCCCGCACCTCTGGCCTGTACCCCAGTTCTGGATGCACCAATAAGTAAATCTTTAAAAAAAAAAAAAAGGCCAAGTCAGACGGGCCCAGGCCGCCGCTCCCCGCCGGGCTCTCCTCCCGCTGAGGCGGTCCCACCAGCGCCAAGAGGCGAGACCCGCTCCGCCCCCCTGGAGGCCGCGGGC